CGGAGCGGAGAGAAGAAGGCCAAGGTCGGCAGGAGGAAGATCCCGCCGCTGTAGAACGGAAGCGAAGGGAGATCGCCGAGGGAAAGCGGGTAAGCGGCCAAGGTGTGGGACCAGCGTCGCGGCCACTGCAAGACAATCCCATACAAGATCCGGAACCGCCAAGTGAAGAAGATAAGCGGCCTAGCAGCACAGCAACAGTCGGACCCAGTACGTGACGACGACGACGAAGCCACTCCCGCTCCCCCTCCCCAAGACCGGTTCTTCGAGCACGAAGTGCTCTGGGAAATCGGGCTTCGTCCCCGGTCATTATCTCACCGTCCCCTTGACTATATCACCTTCCACCAGAGTGAAACTCCGATTCCTATTTCCACGAATCTTTTCTCTCGTCCCCTCTTCTATCAACTTTACTCCACCAGGCTAATCGCCACCATTCACCCCCGCCCAACCACACGATCCCTCCACTCCTCCTTTCGTCTCCATATCCATCTCTTTAGTGTAGCATGGTGGTTGTTCTACAACGTTGAGTTGTACTGCACGATTACGGGGACGATCCCCGCGTGCGCAGATTATGAGCAGTTTAGGGCATCCGTCATCCGTACTATGTCTACCCTTTACCCCGACTATCTTTCTTCCCTCCCCATCGCAATCAACGCTTCCCGTGTGTCCATCGCACCATCCGCTATGTCAATCTCCCTGGATCGGCGCAAGATCTTACCTACTTTCTGCCCCCGCTCCCGCACCAACCCCCTCCACTTCCACCAGGTGTCCTCAAACTCCCCTACCCGGCTCCGGGACGTTTTCAAGTATGAATGACACGTGTCGAAAGGATGACTTCCACACTCCTATTCGACAGTATAACACGTGTCAAACCCTCAGCGTGTATAGGTGCAAGTGGGAGCTTGCACAAATTGGAACCCCGTGGGCGTCACATATGTGACGAACTCTTTTATGAGACACGCTATTTCCTGCGCGAGTAGTTTAGAGGCATGTAAACGGGGCTAGGAATAAATTGCATGAATGCCTTTGCTTTACGCTGCTTTTTCGTTTCCTTTTTTTGGGGGGGGATCCTAGGAGAAATCGGGTAGATGGCCCGCGCCTTAGCGAGCGCGGGGAAAGAGGGGAACAATGATAGTTTCTTCCAATTCCTCTCTCTTTCTTAGGAGTACGGGCAACTTTTTTGGGCGCGATCAGCGCGCGGGGAAAAATTGTTTTCGAATTTTTGAATGTGTGCAGAGTCGTGAGCGTTCTCGGAATTTCTTTTTTGCAATTAGGATTTTGATTAAGGGGAATTTGGGCGCACTGAAATTTTTCTGCGCAATAACTCTTGCTTGCGCGTGCATTTCTGCGGCTGGCTCTGCGTTCTTGGCCGCCCGCACCTTAATCCTTGCTGTAATTGTAATCTCTTCTTGGAAGGCGTAGGCATAACTGTAATCTTCCTTCCTTGACTCCTTCTTCGCGCCTTTGCATGCGCTCCTTTTTCTGTCCCATTGGCCAGAACGATGCATGACTGGATCGATGCGTGGAGAGTGGCTACGTCCCCCACGCCGAGGCCTGGTCATGTTGTCGTAGGCACGTCCTTCCTTCCTTCTCCCTCCACCCCAACACAATCACGGTTATTGCGCACAGATGCAAAAGCTCTCTAATCAGACTTAAAGTTAGCGTGGTCGAGAGGATCGGCTAACGGGCAAGAGCAGAAAGGTGAGTGAGAAGTGGGGCGATCCGACGGGCTGGCGCTGAGTATGCGGGGTTGATGTGCGGCTGTGAAGGACTGTGGCACACGAGCGAACCTGGCTTGCATGCTCCGGCTAAGCGGGGTGACAACTTCGGGTTGATAGTAGGTGCGAGGCGACGGACTGCCCGCATCAGGAGAGAGGGTGCGAGAGAGAGAGAGAGAGAGCAAAGGGTTGGCGGTGTGGTGTATTCTTCTTCAACCCTCTCTGTAATTTTGATTTTCCGCTATGATCGGTCTTTGCGCATGACTATATTTTGGATTTGTTGTTTATTGAGTATGGATGCAGGAGTCCGTCTCTTCTCCCTCACTTCTTCACTCCTCTTGGTGTGTTTCGATCTATATAATGCTATTTTTTAAATGCTCGCTGATCAGGAGTAGATTTTTGGAATTGGTCCGGGTAAAACCCGCAGGCGTGGTCTGGTTAGATCTGTCGATGCATGTATGAATGAACCTTTTGTAATGGTTGCATGAGCATGGAATTTGCCATCTCATCTCGCTCGCAGAGGTTGATTGATCAAAGAGGGGGGGGGGGGGGAAGGGGTTAGCCTTCATCGCTAGCATGCGCCACTAGTTGAAATGACTTATGCGTGCGCGCACATACGAGCAATCGATGCAATCGTCCCCGATGCGTGCCTCCGCACAAGTCATTCCGGCCTGGTTACACATGGGTATTGCTGAAACGCCCAAATCTGTTGGCAGGCGGTAGGAACTGTGGGTCGGAAAATTGCGGCTCTCAAAGATAGGATTTAGAGACACTGCGGGATCACTCTTGTGCACACGCGCATACTAGCGACTGTCGAATAAGATAGCAATCACGGATGCTCGTGTAGCAGGAGTCCCCTCCGACCGAACCATTGTAGGGTCATATGGCTGGCAAGCGCAGAAGGTAGAATGAACGTCCAAGCCCCTTTTCGAGTCACAGAGCACGAGGCTTTGAGAGATCCCGGGTTCGAGGAGTATTGGTTTAAACACGCGAAGAACGCAGCCCGTGCAACCTCAATTCAAAGCGATTGGCCCACAACCCCACGCTCGAACTGCCAACAGGACATCGCTTTGCAGCCTAAGGCTGTGGCCGGCGACGTCGGATTCTGAGAACTATGATGCACGCAGGCGACGCGTGCTCGAACAAAGAGACAACCATCATGTCCTGTCCGAACATCAAGTCAGGACCAGGCCCCGAAGGCAAGGCTGACGGTTCTAAAAGAAAACGAGGACTTGAACCCGCCTCTTCGCGGGATCATTTGCACTTTTATCCTTGAACTCTTGACACCGGAGATTTCAGGTCTGACCTGGGACTCCACCACAATTTCCTAAAATCCTTGGCACACCCCTTTTTTGCACTTCCCAGCCCACTATCACTCTGAAACAGGAAGTCGCGCTGGGCGTGAGGTTGGGTGTCACAACGCTTCTTTTCGTCTGAATCCCGGCCCTGCTCCAAACTACTCTTTTCCCCCTCCATCTTCCCGCCTTCGTCCCCATACAGAGACTCCCTACCGATTCCCCCGCCAAGAGTGTTCGAACAATCAAACAACATCGTGTAAAGAAGACTAATCCCCTCACACTGTGATCTGATTAGCTGGGAAAGAACTCACGAGGATCGAGATGGATTTCCTCAGGCGATTGACCCTTATTCTCTCTTCTCTCCATTCTGCCCCCACTCCAATCTCTCCCATTTTCTATCTCCCTCGTCACAACTATAAAATCCGCAAGCGCATCTGAAAAACTCACTCTCAACCCATCTGCCAGGTTCAGGGAAGTTGTGGCTAGATGATGTGATGATCGACGGGTCGAAAAGCCCTAACGAGCTTGCTGTAGTTCTGCAAGGCTGTGCGTCGGGTGGTCGCAACGAACTGCGGGATCCGGGTAAGTTGGTGTAGAAGATGAGTTGGCGGGGTGACTATTGCTGTGGTGTGGAGGTTGGTATGTGGCGGCCGGGATCGCCGGTACCTGGGTAAGGAAGTTGTGTGTGTACGAGTGGTTGCATGGCCCCGGGCCATGATCAGACAGCAGAAGGCTTGCACCTCGTATTATTCAGTTCCTCTTCTTATGCTGGAAGCTAAGGCCATGGGAGATTGCAGGCTTTTTCTCATATCTACTTGTGTGTTCATAACTCCTCCTCTGTCCTTAGTCCCAGGTACGGCTCTATCAACTCGTTTCAACCTTACCTCAGGGGGTCCCCGTATAGCCTTAGGAGTAGTGGTAGGTAGGTAATGAAAGAAAGATGTGTCCCATGACATGGCAAAAGGCAAGATAGTGACAGGTGAGAAGAAAAGAAAATAATAAAAAAACACAATTGTGAGAGTAGCTCAGTTGGTAAGGCACACAAGTGGCATTCAGGAGGTGTTGGGTTCATTCCCCATTGGCCTCATGTACCTTCCTGGGCAAGCTTGGCGCCCACCACGTAGAGATATGCCGTTTTTCCCCCGGAGTGGCATTGAGCAGAGACTGCTGATGTTCATAGGGGGGAGAAGACCGGAGGGTAGGCAGAGTGACTGGCCCATCGAAGAAGCTCGGTCCTGATGCTACCGGCTGACCCCTGGCCGGTATCGCCCACCTGCTGTAGCAGGTATCGCACCTGCTGGTGGGTGCAGCTCCCGCATGTTCCCTCGTTGGAGGCTTGAGCACGGATGTGGCTGCTACGGGGTTCCCCGTAATACTATAATGACAATAAAAAAGGCCTGAAAGGCCGTCCTGTCCAGATTTGACAGGTCAATTAGCGTAAAAAAAAAAAAAAAAAAAAAAACGAAGGAAAAAAAAAACAGAATTTTTTTTTTGGGATGGCATTTCTCGGCGTCACAGTACGGTAGCTTCATCATATACCACTACGGTAGCTTCTGATACAGAGTAACTCCGGCTTCAACTCCCGCTCGCCTGAATTCTCTATATCTGATCCTGGATTGCGAAGATCGATGACCCGAAGTGATGGATCCCGCCAAGTGGGACCCGCGGGCCCCCAATCTTCAGCCATGGTGTACCTTTTTTTTTTTTTTTTTTTTTTTATAGTTTTTGGCGCACCTTCGACTTCCCATAGGGCACGACCTGTGTGGTCTTTTTAATTTTCATTCTCGCCCCTTTTACGTGGGATTCGGAGAGAAGATCTCCTTCCTCACTGACACAAAAGTGATCGCATTTACGTCCGCCTTGATTTCGTACCCGGCTACCGCTGTACCCGGCAGCGTTGGCAACAGAAAAGACGAAAAACAAACGTATACCGCTGCGATGGCGGTGGAGCACGATGCATTCGTGCGGCGGCTCCGGCGGGGCGAGATCCTGGCCGTAGGTCAGTATCCCTCAATGCATCGTAGTTGTGCAATCTCGCTCTCGCTGCCGTGGTGGCGTGCTTGCATGGCAAACTAGCGAAGTATTTATTTCTGGCGGTCTCATTTTGCGTCGTCGTCCTCTCCCTGATGTGCTGAAGGGATCTCTCGGTCTGTCTTCAGTTGCGCGTAGTCTTTCCCGCTGTTCGTTTTCCTCAGATTTGCCCGCCCGCTTGCGTCGTCCCTTTGAGCGGAAGGCCTCCCCGCGGACAGCTATGGAGCGACGTGCTGGCGGCGGCGGCGCCCTGCGCGGGGGCCACGGCTCGGCAGGCACGTGCGTCTTCCCCTCTCACCTTCGGCTCCTCCTCTTTCTCCCGCTGCTCTTGGCGATGGCCGCTGTTCCGTCCAGCGCCACCACCGAAGCGCAGCTCAGGGCGGCCATCTTGAGTCCCACCCCGCAGGTCCTAGTCGTCGACTCCGATATTACGCTGACGTCAAACCTGCCGGACGTAGTCTGTCCCGACCTGACGATCCAAGGGAAATGCCGCCGCCGTCTTTGCAAGATCGACGGGCGCAATCGCTACTCGGCGTTCTCTAAGGTCCGCTCCATCACGGTCACAGGAATGGAGCTGACGAGGCTGAGGTCCAGCGGCGCTCTAGGTGCTCCCGCTCCCGCCATCAAGGGCCAATCCAACGGCGGGTCGCAGATCCGGTTGTCGAATGTGCGGATCTCCGACAGCAGGAATGCGCGGGGGCGGGGCGTCGTCGAGCTGAGCGAGGGAAGCCTCACCGCCGTCAAGACGGTATTTAGCGGCAACTCCGCCGAAGTCGGCGGCGCCATCGCTATAGCCGTGGACGCGCGCCTCGAGGCCACTGACGTCCAGTTCCTGAGGAACAAGGCGGCGGACATGGGCGGCGCCATATCTGCGTTCCAGACGGTCCTCAACTGCACCAAGTGCGTCTTCGACAGGAACGAAGCGGGATCCATCGGCGGCGCAGTCAGAATAGCAGGGCCAGACGGTGCGGGGGCCTTCTTCTTCTCTTGCAAGTTTTCCGCCAACAAGGGCACGGGGAGAGGAAGCAAAGGTGGCGCCGTCTACGTGGACCGCCTGGACGCCAGTCTTTTTGGCGCCAAATTCTGCAAATCCTCCTTCGCGGGAAACACCGCCAAAAATGCAAGAGGCGCCACGGTCACGGACCACGTCTGGATCGCCATGACCAAGGAGAATGACGAAGACGCCAAGATTCTGTTCTGCCCGCGCCGACCTCGCACAGGAATCACGATACCTGACCCTCTGTACAGGCCCAATGTCGTCGACACCTGCGCCGGCTGCCCTTGATTTTATTATTTATTTTATGCTAGAAAATAATTCCTGAAAGGAACAGATACATGCGTCCATGCCCTCTCTTCCTCTTTCTACGTTTATCTTCCCCCCCCCCCCCCCCCCCCTCTCTCTCTCTCTCTCTCTCTCTCTCTCTCTCTCTCTCTCTCTCTCTCTCTCTTGGTGTACGACAGTCTACATCTCGGTTTCTTTTTCCTTGCTCTCTCTCTCTCTCTCTCTCTTGCGTGCGTGCTGTGTACGACAGTCTGCATCCGGATCCCCCTGTCGGTGTGCACATCTGCTTGTGTCTTTCCCTCTGGGGAGTGTCCGTTTCGTCATTTTGTCCGTCGAGTCGTACGTGGATGCGCAGGCATGTGTTCCTCGTGGATCATAGGCGTGACATTAAATTGAGAACGTTTGTATTAGCAACAGTCTCTCTCTCTCTCTCTCTCTCTCTCTCTCTCTCTCTCTCTCTCTCTCTGTGTCTGTTGTTCCGCGAGTAATCTGACCCATTTATCAGACCCGGAAGTCGTTCAGCAGACCCATCCGATGGAACGGACCCATCTGGGACAACGAACGGTTCCAAGTGTCTCTGTTCCAGTTGGGTCCGCTCCACTGCGTACATGAGTCTGGGCTGGGCATTTCACAGCGTCTGTTTTGACAGCTTTGACGGACATCCGACAACGTGCGGCTTGTCCTCTGCTGTTGTCTTTTTGGGGTAACTACGGCGCAGTCACACGACTGCGCCTCAGTTTTCCCTTTCTATTTTTTTGGGTTCGGTCCTGCTGCGTTTGTTCTTGCCGCCGCTTCTACCGGTAGTAGCGTTCAATAAAGAACAGGGAATGGTACTTTGCTCCATTGGTTATCAAGCTTGATCGACGAACAATCGCCATCCCCCAACGTTTCCAATGCATCTGGACATGCAGTGGGCACACAGTCCGCATGCGCTCAAAATCTCGGCGGATGGAGAGAGAGCGGTGCAGTTGGCCTGACATAGCATGATGCTGTTTTTGCTTCCAAGCTGAAGGAAATTAGAATGCAGATACGTTTTTTAGTGATCTCTTCTATTGTTTTCTGTTTTCTTTTCGTTTGTCTTTTATGATCAATCAATCAATCAATCAATCAGTCGAATTGAACGTGAGACGGCGCTTTGTATGAAGGCCTGCGATATGTCGATGCGACACCGGTTGTGCAAATGCACAGATCATTATTATTATTAGTATTATTATTATGATTATTTGTATTATTATTATTATTATTAGTAGTAGTAGTAGTAGTAGTAGTATTATGATTATTATTATTATTATTATTTCTGTTCATCTGGGGCTAGGTCGACTAGCCCGGATTAATCGTTTCTGACTGTTGATCTCCCTTTTTTTTTTTTTTTTT